CTCTATAACTGGGCTGGAATGTTCCTACTCTCAGGTGAGATAATTAGTTTTAACTGAGTGCCGGAGAAATTATGTTCTCTATAACTGGACTTGAATTTTCCTACTCTCAGGTGAGATAATTAGTTTTAACTGAGTGCCGGAGAAATTATGTTCTCTATAACTGGACTTGAATTTTCCTACTCTCAGGTGAGATAATTAGTTTTAACTGAGTGCCGGAGAAATTATGTTCTCTATAACTGGGCTTGAATTTTCCTACTCTCGAATTTTTTGGGCTTGATTGTTTTGATTGGATTATCTTTATTGGAGTACTCACCCAAACGTTTGATTTGATTACCTATATTGGAGTATTCACCCAAACGTTTGATTTGATTACCTATATCGGGGTATTCACCCAAACGTTTGATTGGATTACCTATATTGGGCAACCCAATATAGGTAATCCAATCAAACGTTTGGGTGAATAATCCAATATAGGTAATCAAATCAAACGTTTGGGTGAGTACTCCAATAAAGATAATCCAATCAAACGTTTGGGTGAATAACCCAATATAGATAATCCAATCAAACGTTTGGGTTAACAACCCAATATAGGTAATCCAATCAAACGTTTGGGTGAATACCCCAATATAGGTAATCAAATCAAACGTTTGGGTGAATACCCCAATATAGGTAATCAAATCAAACGTTTGGGTGAATACCCCAATATAGGTAATCAAATCAAACGTTTGGGTGAATACCCCAATATAGGTAATCAAATCAAACGTTTGGGTGAGTACTAAGTATTCTAGCCTATCTCGTTACTAGATTATGATGATTAGGTTAAAGATCTGAGTAAGTTATTTTTTATTGCAAAACTAACATTCACTTGTTGATTTGTAATTATTATCATTAAACACGTTTAATTTGGTATCACTGATGATTAGGGAAATGCGTGCGTCTATAACTAAATTAATCTTAAAACTATTATCAAAATACCTTGCTAACAAAAACAAACAAACTATATGACGATAATGGCGTCACAACTACAACTATGACGTCACTTCCGATGTTTGTTTACTAGGCTCCAAGCTCTATGAAATCCGTACTCCAAGCTGCCTGGCTTCTGACAGTGGCCTTTGGAAATTTGATTGTTGTCGTCATAGCCGAGCTTCATCTGTTCGACAAACAGGTAAAACTGAAACTATAAACAGCTTCATGGACATAAATATCCGGAAATAAATGTTTATAAATATAAAAAATCAACATTAATTTATGTTTCGTTTAATGCAAAAAATTAATATGAATTTTGATCTGAGTAAATTAATTAGAAAATAATCATAAAACATACAGTTTTAATGAGACAGACACTAAAACAAGAGCAGAGTAGTTAATAACATTGTCTAGGTGTGTGTTATAATAAAATGTTATAGAGATAGTTTTTGTTATGAATAATAATTATGTGTGTAAAGTATCTGATTGGTTCCTTTAAATATTTACACGATCCCTTTGGTTAACCAAGTGACCAATAGCAAGTGCCATATTAACATATATAAATAATTTATTATGTTCAATATTTTTAATTAGAATTTTAAACTTAATTTCGACCAATTGAAGTCAGTAATTGCATAAAATTATCTTTTGACATCATTTTGATGATTTGATCATTGAGATAGAGTTAGTTTTTAACATCATAAGTACCGGATCAGTAGGATTGTTCAAGTTATATTTGTTTGGGAACGAAAATGAATGAATCTTTAAAGACAGATAAAATAACTATAAAAATAGATCCGAGTTTCAAAGACAGTTTCTAGAGCTACGGGTTACTTCTAATCCGGTATCCAGTTGTTATAATCTAATGATCTTTTAGATAATCTACAAAAGAAACGTTGGATTAAACTTTGTTTTTAGTGTTCCTTTCATTAAAATATTGTGTGTTTTAGAGAATTAGAAATAAAATCTGGAAATATCGTCTTATAAATATTCTATTTATTGTTGAGTTCTTAAAAGTATTTTTACATAAAACCCTTCCCCCCCCCCTAGTTAAAAATTACTTGTACATCGGAAGCAGTTTTTTTCTCCAATGAAATGGAACAGGGATCGTTTAAATTTTTCATTTCAAATCAACAAAATAAATATCAATTCATATTACGCTATATTAAAATTTTTGAAAGAAAATCGACAAGATGTTCTTTCTCTGTTTCTAGTCGCTGGAATTTTTCATGTTTGCTGGTCTGATGGGTGTCGACATGTTAATTTTTGCGGTTATGGCATATTTCTACAAGTACGTCGATCAACCACAAGAGGGCGACGAATATCTAGAATCGACACAGAAAGATAACAAGAGTTATCGAGAAGTTAATTGTATTCAGAATGAGGGCTTTCTAGAAGATACTAAAATGTGATACCACTGGGTACAGTACTGTGATTGTAGTGTCCGTGGTCTTGAAATAACAAGAAGGTTATTGTCCTAAATGTGTAATATAATTGTAAAACTGGATAGTAAATAAATCCAAAAACTGATTCTTCAGCCTCGTCAAACTGGTTAATTTTATCATAGAAGATACATTTTTGTGTAATAGAGTTCACTTCTTTTGTTCGACAGAAGGAACTGAAGTGGATTAGACCATTGATAAAGTTGAATACGTATGATAACCCCATGTGTTTTTGCATTACATAGACACATCCGCCACTAATATTTGCTTTACTATATTGTGTTTCTGGATTGGTTCAGTATTAAGAAGTTGTAACTATACTTTCGATGGAGTTGGTCAGTATCCAAGTAGCAACCTTTGTTATTGTTTAAAACTTCCCGGAGTGATCCAGTATCCAGGTAGTAGGTTTTGTTATCGTTTAAAACTTCCCGGAGTGATCCAGTATCCAGGTAGTAGGTTTTGTTATCGTTTAAAACTTCCCGAGTGATCCAGTATCCAGGTAGTAGGTTTTGTTATCGTTTAAAACTTCCCGATCCAGTATCCAGGTAGTAGGTTTTATTATTGTTTAAAACTTCCCGGAGTGATCCAGTGTCCAGGTAGTAGGTCTTGTTATCGTTTAAAATTCCTGGAGTGATTCAGTATCCAGGTAGCTAGGTTTTATTATTGTTTAAAACTTCCCAGAGTGATCCAGTAACCAGGTAGTAGGTTTTGTTATCGTTTAAAACTTCCCGGAGTGATCCAGTATCCAGGTAGTAGGTTTTATTATTGTGTAAAACTTCCCGGAGTGATTCAGTAACCAGGTAGTAGGTTTTGTTATTGTTTAAAACTTCCCGGAGTGATTCAGTAACCAGGTAGTAGGTTTTATTATCGTTTAGAACTTCCCGGAGTGATCCAGTATGCAGGTAACAGGTTTTGCTATTGTTTAAAACCTCCCAAAGTGTCCCAGTATCCAGGTAGCAGGCTTTGTTATTGTTTAAAACCTTTCGGAGTGATCCAGTATTCAGGTAGAAGGCTTTGTTGTAGTTTAAAGTTCCCGGTGTGATCCAATATCCAGGTAGTAGGCTTTGTTGTTGTTTAAAACCTTTCGGAGTCATTTGGTATGTAGGTGGTAAACCTTGACATAATGGCTTCTTGATCGCACACCTTGTTCGCCATACATCATTACTGACGAAGCCTTTCGCTCAATACAACACCTCAACAAGTCGTCTGGGAAAGTAACACACAACGTTTCGTTTGGTACGTTATTTATATCAGTACTTTACAAAATATCAATTATTATGGTTTATAAACGAAGCGTGAAATTAATTATAATAACAGCGTTTCGACTGAGACTTTGTATGTTGCAATCCCAGCCGACCTGTTGAGTTGTGGTATTGAACGAAAGGCCTCGTCGATAGTGGCGTGCGGTTGAGAAGTTATTATGTATTCTCACTTAGAATCCATATTATAGGGCCAGTAAAAGAGAGATTTGTAAAAAAAATATTTTTAGTGTTATTGTGATACAGTGTCACACTAACTATTAATCAATAGATGACCCCAATCAGTCATCCCTAAAATGTTGACATAAAAGACAGTTGTTAAAATAACCTTATAGTAAAAAAATAAAAATTGAGAAATAAAAAAGCTTTACACTGTTTTTGATAATAAATAATGCAAAAATGTTAATTTTTTTATAGTTGAAATGATTACCTTTTTTGAGATAATAAAGAGGACGCTAGTTATTCAAGGTCTTCCAAAGTTTATAAATAACTAGTCTTAACATATTTTTTTTATGATTTGCTCAGTACACCGGTTGGTAAAGACCAACTTCAGGTAGGTGGACTTGCCTCAGCTTACTCGTATTATACTTGAATAAGTTTTGACAAGGGAGGAAGATGGGTGTTTAATTAATGTTTACCAAACTATCAAGGTAAAGATTTACAGTTCCAGTTACTATCATATTGTAATAATTATTTAAAGGGTGGAGGTTGGGTGTCATACAGATGTAGAAATAGAGGGTAGTTTATTATTTTTTTTATAAGATTATTTTAACCACTACTTTTTAGGTTAAAATACTAGGGATGACTTCCTTCCCACAACTGGCTGCAGAAAGCGAAAGGCAGTAGTAGTTGAGACGTTGGTGGTCAAAACAATCAACTCCTAACCTTTAGTATGATCTATCTTGGCGACTACTTAGTTTGACATTGTCGTTTGGATCATGTCTGATAGATGGAATATTCCCAACGCTTTTGGGTTCTATGACCACAGATATTTGCCATTAGGGGTTAATGAATAATGACAAGGACTGACGATGGACTAATTTTCCCTCTTTAGGTTAAAATCTCATAACATATATCTCGGTTCATATGACATATAAATCCACAGCAATGTTTGGATCATGTCCAGCTGGCTAACCTTTCTATATCGAATCTATAGCAATGTTTGGAGCAGGTGTAGCTGATTAGCCTATTTATATATATAGAATCCACACCAACGTTTGGAGTAGGCCTAGCTGACGAGTTTTGCTATTAAAAGCTGGGTCGTTGCAAGTTTCGGTATTTTGGTTCGTATGAGTCAAGAATCTCGAGTGTGTAACATAAACACCCTCTAAGTTGCTGTTATTCTTGACTTGCACCAGAGGTTTCTACAATGAAAACTTTATCTACGTAAGTTTAGAATAACCACGAGTCCTGTGATAATAGAAACCTTTATAAAACCAAAATATATTTATACGTAGTGTATGTTCCCACTACCATCCATCACTTTATCGGAGGGACGCGAGCAGGTTTCCAGGGGGTCACGAGCTGTTTGCTCTGAGTCGACTTTTTTTTTGTTTTTAATCCTCGAGGTGTCTGAGAGGTGCTCATATCACCTTTTTTTAGAAACTATGACGAACTGGTTTTTTCATTCTTGTAGAGATAATGGGGGGGTCGCGAAGACCAAAGTCCGGACGCGGGGGTGGTTGGTAAATCCGCATGAGAAACATCGATCCAGAGTCTGTTTCGCATACCTTTAATACGCGACAAACTCTACGGTTGTGTATTCTTGTGAATAATGATGTAGGTTCGAATCCCGTTTGGTGAAGTGTATTGTTACAGCAAAGCTACACAATAGGCTATCTGCATACTGTTCACCGCAGGGAATCGAATCCCGGATTTTTGCGTTGTAAGTTCGTAAACTTTCCGCTAACCCACCAAGTAGAGGTGTCCGTTCTCCAAACGGATGTTACATTGCATACTTCTACAGTTAGACCGTTATATTAGATTCGCTATATAAATTACTGAATTTGTGTTTAGTTCCGGATTTGTAGGCAACTATAACGGAATTATAATATCTATATTATTTTGTCTTCAACTTCGAATATAAAAACTACTCCCCCACCCGGCTAGTTTTAGTTTGGTTGTTATTAAGCACAAGGCTAGACAATGGGCTATTTGTGCTCTGCCCACTGGGAGTATCAAAACCATATTTTGAGCGTCATAAGCCTGCATACTGAACCACTGGGGGCTTCTTTGTCTAAAAATATTACCTCAAAATTTTCATGCACATCTACAAAGGGCTATCTGCACATAACCTTCCATAGTGTTAAACCAATAGATTAAAGTCAACAGCGCTAGGTATTGTCTGACCGAATAGTGGGACGACTTGACCCTCACTTTTATAACACACCCAAAGCCCCCCCCCCAAAAAAAATGCAAAGCGAATTTTTTTGGCAATTTACCGCTAACCACGAATCCTCGGTTTCACAGTCCAATACTCTACCGCTAGGTTACGCCCGGCTCTAATACGCAGATATACCGAACTGCATAGCATCCAATACTGCAGGATCGGAACAGATTTCTAGCTCTACACCTAGGCTTGTATGCAAACTAAGCCGTTTTTTTTTTCTACCATCAGGTTGGGTTTGATATATGTTATTTTATTCACTTCAAAGTTCATTTCTATGTTCATGTTGGCGTGATCATGTGGGGCATGTTGTCAATTAGAATTTGACTTGAATTCGATGATAAAGTTGTTAGATCTTTGTTACGGCCATTGACATGTGACTGTAACCATGGTGACGTGGCTATTTCCTTAAGCAACATTATAATCTCTATCACCAATATTACAGTAACTCTTACAATAACTATATATATATATTTTAAATAACTTCTAATTCGGTTCCATTCTCTGTCTTTTGTAAAACTTCGTTGATTAATAACATAACTTAACGGTTTCTGTTTAAAAGCGAATTGTTACATGTAAAGAACTCTTTGTTCATTTGGAGTTAATAACTAAATCGGTTTCATATTCTCTTGATTCAATATTATATTAAGAATACTAGCACAAAACAATTAATGTTACGAAATGGCAATTAATACTAATCACAGCTACGTGTTTGTATTATTGGATTAAACACCTGTCTTTCCTCAAGCTTCCCCCCCCCCCCCATGGCTCAGGGGTAAGTTTGAAAGCTAATAAAGCTAAAAGCTGGTTTTCGATATCCGTGTTGGACACAGTACAGGTAGCCCGTTTTGTAGCTTTGTGCTGAACAACAAACAAAAACAAATTCTGAAGCTTTAATTGTTTTATCAAACAGATTTCTACATCTAGCGCCATCTTTTATCAGGAACGAAAAATGTGAGATTAATTTAACTAGTGTATCTTCCTTTAAGCACTTAGATATAATTTGACTTATGATATAATTTATAAAGACAAAGATATGTGCTTTTTCATTATTAGTAGTAATGTTTACCATTTCCTGTGTGTGTCATAAATCCCTCACAGAAATAAAACGTGTACGTTTACTGTACTGCCAGCTGAACAGATAATTGTCAAAGTTTATACTGTATTTAGTTCAGAAGCGCGTGAATGTTAACTATGCTTGAAATAAATGTTGGTAAGGCAACAGGAAGAATATTGCTACAAGCTATTGTTGACTATCAAACTTAGTGACTGCAGCCAGTGAAGTAGACTAGCCTTTATATTTACCACTAGGGCATGCTCACTCTGCAGACAGTACTTTGGTCCTTTGTATGTAGAACTTACACGAGTCTGTGACCATAGAAAAATGTAACATTCTGACATTGTATGTAATTAAATCAAAAAGGTTTTTAAAAACATCTAACC